AGAAAAATGTTCTCTTTTTGTGAAAGATTCTGGCATTCATTCCTCTTAAAATTTTTGATAAAATTATCAAATTATTTAACATTTTTTGAAATGAACATTTCTTTAATAAGTTTTCTTATGCATTTTCTTCATTCATTGACACCTGTCCAAAATCTTACTTGTTCTTACTTCGTTCAAATAGCATCACTCATTAATACTCATAAAATAATACCTAGTATACAAAATCTATGCTTTGGGACCTTATGTAATCTTAGAAATCTTGATTACTAGCAAATAAATTATGATGGCTCTTATACTGTATCCAACTCTGTCATCAAAGCCAATGAAAGGATGTTTACGTAAAGATAAGGCGGTGGTGGCGCACGCCTTTAATCCCAGCACTCGGGAGGCAGAGCCAGGAGGATCTCTGTGAGTTCGAGGCCAGCCTGGTCTACAGCGCGAGATCCAGGAAAGGCGCAAAGCTACACAGAGAAACCCTGTCTCGAAAAACCAAAAAAAAAAAAAAAAAAAAAAGATAAGGAAGTAACAATAAAATTCAAGTTATGAGCCAATCACTATACTAAATGTATACACACAAAACTCTATTGTATAGTGTCTTCATTTTATAGATACAGAAAGTAAAACTAAAACTCCAACAGATCTGCTTTTTAAAAATATTTCTTTGTATATGGGGGAGTGTATGTGCACAGCGTGCATGTGAGGGGCAGAGGACAACTGCCCGTGACTCAGTTCTCTCTTTCTTTGCATTGAGGCAGGGTCTCTCATTTTTGCTGCTTTGTTATGTACACGTATTTCTGACTGTTTTTCCCATCTCCATCTCCCATCTCACCATGGGAGCACTGAGACTACAGGTCAGTGCTGCTGTATCTGGTTTTTCATATGGGTTCTAGAGATAGAACTAAAGCCATCATATTTGTTCAGCAGTTGGGTTTTTTTCTCTCCTGAGACATTTCTATAGCCATACATACATATGTATACATATATAGTTTTTAAACATTGTTGTTTCACTCATTTGCTCTTTGTTAGATTTGTTCTCCTTTGCCAATATTTTCTGACTATATAAGGGCAGAGGTCATTTTCTTGGTCTCAGTAAGTGTTCAAAAATCTGGTCTTGCTCTTATTTTTTATTAATATATGGAAATTTAAAATTGATAATTTATTTTTTTGTTTTTTTTCCGAGACAGGGTTTCTCTGTGTAGTTTTGCGCCTTTCCTGGATCTCGCTCTGTAGACCAGGCTGGCCTGGAACTCACAAAGATCCGCTTGCCTCTGCCTCCTGAGTGCTGGGATTAAAGGCATGCGCCACCACCACCTGGCTTGAAATTGATAATTTGATCTTGCTAGTTGTAATAAATCTTCTAAAATGAATACAATAAAAGAAACACTAAGCCATATTCTTTAAAAATAAGAATTTTAAGGCTAGGAAGATGACTCAATGTATAAAGTGCTTACTGTGCAATCATGGGACCTAAGCTGGGATTCCAGAATCCACATGTCAAATACATTTGTGTGTGTGTGTGTGTGTGTGTGTGTGTGTGTGTGTGTGTGTGTGTGTGTGTTCCCAGCATTCTTACATTAAAATTAAGATGGCAAGACAGGAGAATCCCTGGAAGGTCATGGGTCAGATACCCTAGTGTACACAATGAAGATCACATATCAAGAAACACTGTTTCAAGGCAAGGATGACACTGAAGTCCTATGGTCCACAGGCAAGCCATGATAATACATGCATACTTCCTCCACACATGAATACACACACATGCACATATCTCTTACCCACTTACATGCAAAGATAAAAGGTATATAAATGATAACTAAAAAATGCTGTCCTAAAGAGCACAGGAACAGATTCCATATTTAATGTGGTAGACTGAACATGTTCTCTTATTTATGCATCTCTTCAAATCTTTAAAAATGACAGTCAAGAAAGTAAAATATAGAGATTCACAGAGACAAAACAGGAGAGAATACAGAAATCAAATGAACTCAACAAATATAGAAAACTTTAAAAGGGAGAAATCAGGGTTGGAGAGATGGCTCTGTGATTAAGAGCGCTTACTACTCTTCCACAGGATCCAGTTCTGTTCCTAGCATTCATGTAGGGCAGCTCACAGCAACCTTCAATGCCAGCTCCAGGGGATCCAATGCCTCAAGTCTCTGAGGGCACCTGAAGACATATGCAAACACTCCCCGCAACACATGATTTAAAAATAAAAAAATTTAAAAGAAAAAAGTATAGTGACTGACTTAACAGACTTGAGGAACCCTATTCCCTGCAGAAATGGGGCTTTTGGAGGTGAGAGCACTAGGAAGCAACAAGGGGACATCAGGCAGGCAGACTCTCAGAAAGGCACACAACTGCAGGGACCAACAGACACTTCTGTGGGGCTGGGGTACGAAGGATAAGAAACAGGAAAATTAGTTTCAATCTCTCTGGCTCCCCTCTGCTATCACACTCATGTCATCAGGTACTTAGCCTTTTCCTATCCCATCAGGAAACTGAGAAATGTTTTCTGGAATTGGGTGATCACTCAGTATTTGTTTTCAATACAGTAAAAGCTGAAATCTGAGACGCCAAAAAGAAAACAGGAATTGAAAGAAAGTTTATAGGTTAAACTGGAACACTTGTGGATTCTATTTTTCCATATTAATGTTTTTTAGTTACCATACAAAATAATGGGTTTCATTATGACATTTTAAAAGATATAGATCACTGAACTTATCCACCACCCCATTATCCCATCTTCCATCCTCCCCAATCATTTCCTTCAGACTTTGTCCCCATTCAGACTTTCATATATATATTCTCCCCCACTCTTTTTTTTTTTGGTTTTTCAAGACAGGGTTTCTCTGTGCCTGTCCTGGATCTCGCTTTGTAGACCAGGCTGGCCTCGAACTCAAAAAGATCCACCTGGCTCTGCCTCCTGAGTGCTGGGATTAAAGGCTTGCGCCACCACGGCCCAGCTCTCATATATTCATCTATCTATCTATCTATCTATCTATCTATCTATCTATCTATCTATCTATCACATTTATTTTATTATTTATTTGTGAGAGACACAAATTTCTTTCAAGTCCAAGAGAACAAATCTACATATTTACAACTAAGACAAGCCCTGTTTACAACTAAGATTTCAAAACAGCAGCAATAGACTTTACTTTTAGATACACACTGACATCAAGGAGTCTTCTCTATATAGGAAGAAAATCTTTAATACAAAAGACAGAGAATGGGCTAGGCATGGTGGTAGAATTCCTGTAACCTCAGCTTTCAAGAGGTAGAGAGAGGAAGATTGTTAGTTTGAGACTAGCCTGGGATATATAGTAAGTTCAAGGCCAGCCCGAGCCATACATTAAGATCCCATTCTCTGCAAAAATGGGGCCAGAATATAACTCATTGGTAAGGGCATGCCAAGGCCTGAGAACCATAAAACAAAACAAGCCAGACTGAAACAAACAAATAGACAAGGATGTCTTTAAGGAGAAAGAATGACCTTACAGTATCCAACAGCTCTGACTATGAGTCAGGTGGAGAAGAGAGGTATACTAAGTGACAGTTAGAGTGCAGAGGCCAGATGTGAAAACAAAATAAAATATAAACACATTAGAAATGAGGCAATCAATTTCTGGACAAGCAACACACACAAGAAAGGAAATAGAATCATAGTACAGCTCTTGGTTTACCACCAATTTAAATAAAATTAACCAATTTAAATAAAAATGCATAAAGTCTACATTGGAAGAATAGTAGGAAAGGTGGGCATGTGAGAGAGGAATAATTGAAGAGAACTCTCTTCATTTTCCTTGGGAAGAAGAAAATAGATAACTAACAATATCTAAATATTTTCAGCAGAAGCTTCCTGAAGAACAGCAAATTAAAAAATAGCTGCTGTTGAGGAATAGGGACCAGCTATTTGCCAAGCTAACCAAGGAACCACTGTTGAACATATTATAAATTTTGTGGACAGTTTTAGCTTTTATAATCATATAAATATTTCTGTAATAAAAATAAACAATTAAAAGCAAATGATATCAGTCTGGTTGAGACTCAGTATCACACACAGGGTGAAAACAATCTAGAATAGGCAAGTCTGTACTTTCTAGCTCTATACCTCAGCTTGGGCATTGCTTGACCTGTATTTAGGTTCTGGTTGTCTTTTGATTCACTTTACAGGTTATATACAATACCAACCTGAAGAGATCTGTCTGTGGAGAGGAGGCAGAATCAGATACCAAAAGGTGACAATTGTTATTAAGTGACACAATAGAGTTAATAAAAATAATATAAGTGGAAAAGTAGTGGGATACATTGCTATATAGTGCAAGTGACTTTGTTCTGAATAAAAGCAGATCACAGACCTAAAATCTACAATAGTCCTTAGCCCAGGGAGGAAGTAGCATGCTCTGATGTAGACACAAACCCCAGCAGTCTGTGAGCAGCTGATACTATGCTCAGCAAGGGCAATGATCTCCTGTTGTCTGGACTTCAGGCTCATTACTTTGTACCATCTGCCCCTCAGTACTTCAAATTCAAAGTCTGGCAGCTCAAGGTAGGAAGGGTATACCCTGGGTCTCTACAGGTATTTTCCAGAACTACATTCAAATAAAGAAATGTTGTCAGCATCTTCATTATATATCAGTATTATAGTTATTAAAGCAGTAAAGCCTGGTTTGTACAGAACAAAACATAAGAAAAGGAGCATCCTGGCTTTCTGACCCAGGGTGTTTCAGGTTATTCTCTAATAGAAGCGTATGTTCACAAAGCTGCTATTAGCTAGATAAAATTTTTCAAGTGTCAACCTGGGGTTCAGGGCATGCAGAGGGCACTGTCAGATTTCAGCTTCTGGAGGTCATGTATTCAGCTTTAAATTGGGGCTGCTGAATCCTTGCCCTAGGCAGTCATGGTCATTCAAACAAAACCCCTGACAAAGGAGAAGCCTATTGGCAGTTGTGGATGACTACTTCCTTTCCTGGGTAAAAAGCCAGTGCTCTGTTGCCTACCTTGAGTTCATCTTTGCTCTGGAAGTTGTCTAAAAGGTGTTGGTAATGGGTGTCACACATCTGACGGAGCAATGAGAGGAGGCAGGACACATATTCGCCCTGGGAACCAATCCAAAACAAAAACAAAAACAAAAACACTTAGCACAGCCAGTCACAGGGGCTTTGTTCTCCAAATCACAGAGGGTAAGAAGAGAAGGGAGGGTTTGAGATGGCCCCAAATGTTCATGGAGAAAGGTGACAACTGTGTTCCTGAAAATGAACTTTTTTTCTAGGAGTGTTTTGGAGTTTTAATAAAGCTTCTGCAGCACAGGGATATTAAAAAACCTTCACATATAACATCGAGTATTACAAAGTGAAGTATTACTATTTTCTCTACAGCAAAGTTTTGGCTAAATAGTCTTTTATCATAAGAGTACAATACTGAAGTCTATAGAGGCTATTTGGAAAGGGAGCCTCTCCTCTGGGCAAAGTTTAGATCATCTGCTGGGAGAGGGCGGGCAGCCCTTCAACAAGGACATTCTGGGGAAGGGCAGCTCAGCTGGGAAAATGGAACATAGGTGATCAAAAGAAAGGCAAAGCAATCAAAATTGATCTTTGGGAGGGAACAAGCTATGAACTTCAAGGCATATTTAAGTATAATTATGAGTTTTTTAAGCCAATGAGGGTCCGTTAAAAAAAAAACAATAACAAAACCAAAAACTCAACGCTTTAAGGATTCCAAAGACCATGCTATGGCAGTTATTGGCATGGTTCTTAAAAGGCTGTCTCCTCAGAAAAGAAAAAGTATTTTACTTAGTTGATTTTCAAGTGTTTCTAAATTCACAGTAGCCTTTAAACTTATCAAATCCTTTCTAGAGCCCTGAAACTACACAAAATCTACACATGTATATGAACTTCAGTTTTATCTGAAAATGGGCATAAGTCATAATTAATTTGTTGTAAAGGTCAGATGAGTTTGTGTGTGTGTGTGTGTGTGTGTGTGTGTGTGTGTGTGTGTGTGTGTGTGTATGTATGTGTATGTGTGTGTGTGTGTGTGTGTGTGTGTGTGTGTGTGTGTGTGTGGCGGTTAGCATTGAAGCACAAAGTCTAATACATAAAAGGAACCCAACAAACTATAGCTATAATCATAATCTAAAGAAATGGATGGCTTCATTAGTAACACTTGTCAAATGCTTCAAGCAGGGTCAGACCCCCTAGCAAGGGCTATGTAAGTGTTGATTAGAAGGCTGGGCTACCAGGACATGTCAGGGTACACAGTTACTTCACTACAATGAGCATGCTATCAACAGGGGCTTTCTAACAAAAATCTCACTCAGCTTTCCTTATGGGATTTTACATGCTGTGATTCTTTCACTGCTCATTAAGGCCATTTCTGTTCTAAGCTAAAGTTCTAGATTTCTCTTCAGGACAGTCCATTTTAATAGAATTGTTTAATATAGTTAATTATCTTATCAGCCCATAAGTCTCTTACTTAAGCTTTCTCATCTCTACTTGAATTATGGACATATTGATGAGAGATTAAAAGTTCTTCATCTGAAATCTTTGGCATCTAATTTGTTGAAGTTTACTTTAGAATCTGTTCTAGAACAGATGGACTGTCTGATTTGCAATTCTGACATCCTATTTTTTTCAATACAAATGAGTTCCTGTTTATGTCTATTCCTAGGCTGTCACACTGAGGAACACCACAGACTTGTGCAACAGACAATGCCCATGGTAAAAAAAATTACTAAGTCTTGTTTTTCAACAGGGGCTCTTAATGAAGGAGACACTTTTTCCAGGTCGAATGGTCCAGAACACATGCTCACCCTAACATGCTAGAGTTTGGCTTGTTCCCAGAGATGACTTGTTCAAAGAGAGTTCTAGCATCTCTCATCTTCCAACTGAAAGAGTTCATAGAAACCGTTTATCATGTTACCACACAAGGGCTGGAAAATTCACTCTGAATATGCAAGTGGGGTCAGGTGCCAAGGGTTCTGTCTCTACCCATCTGAGATGCTTTCCTAGTATGTTTCTCTCCTAATTATGTCATATACATTCATTACTTAGCAACATCTCTGATATTCTACCACACTATATTTTTCTTGATGTTATAAATTTAGATACATATACTATGGACTAAACCAACTAATTTGTAGACCCAAGAAAATTATTCTGTTCTATATATCATTTAGGAGAGCTTTAAGTGAGGTTTCCTACAGGGGATGGCCTGTCTATCTTTTATCTTTAGCCTTTTCCTACAGCTTTATTATATCACTGCTTCAATCAACATTTATAGAAAGTGACTTGGCTTAAAGGCTAAAACCAACTGAAAGTATGGTAGGGAAACCACACAAGAAACATTCCTTGAATCTTCCTTAAACTAGGCCCCTGGGAGTATGAAACTAGAGCTTTCAGAGAGGTGGAGGGGGTAAAACTCAAGAAAGAAGAGGGTGGCATGCTGACAACCATGTAGGGAGGAGGCTGAGATGAAAATGGTGGGGTGGTGAGATAGGAGTGATGTGAGGAGCCCCAGGTTAGAAAAGAAAGCAAGAACACCTCAGTGTTAGTTACTAACAGTGATCTCTGCTGTGCACTGCGGGCACCGCTGCCCTCTTACCGCCTCCTGAGCATGTGATTTACTCATGATGGTGAGTAGAGTCTGTAAGAGCACATCCAGGAGGCTTTCCACCATCATCTCTACCTCCTCCATGACATCTGCCTCCTGGAGTGAGCAGTGAAAGAGCACACCATTAGCATTAGGCCAAGCAGATGTTCAGCTAGTAGTACTTACTAAGCTGCATCAGGAGTGAGTTTTTTGACTAGATCTCCAACACTGACCTCTCAGACTCACCAAGATGAAGTGTGTAAGGAACCCAGGACAATGGTTTTGGGAGGAGGCGAGGCATGTCTGTCTCTGCTGTCTAGCATGGAGGCTGAGGCCTTGCCTTTCCTAATGCCACGCACAAATTTCAATCTCAGGCAGACACATTAATTTTGACAGACAGGACAGAGATGAATGCCCTGAGTTTAAAGTTTTCTTTGATTTCCCTAGTACAGTGAAAAGAAAGCATACCTCTACTGACACTGAGAAATGATAAAGTTTGAGAAATGGTAAAGTTGCACCCTAGAGTGTGGCAGGAACTTTTTTACCAGTGCAGGCATCTTTTTTATGAAGTCCCTTTCTTTCCTTTCTTTTTTTCACTACTTGCAATTTTTGCAAACCTCCTCTGTGGCCATTTCTAGTTCCTCAGTCTGTTGCTGTTCCCAGCTCATCTGAAAGATTCTATTCTCAATCCATCTTTCTCTTGACAGCTTTATAAAAACAGAACATGCCTTCTCATTATAGGCTACTTCCCAGTTATTAGAATTTTAGAAGAGTTTGTAGTACCCTTTCATAGACATCAATACTCATTTCAAACTTTTTAGGGTGGCTTTAATTATCTCTCAAAGAGATTCCCATTGTCCCTTCTCCAAAATATATTTACAATTTTTATTTTGGGTGCCTGTGTGGTTTACATGTAGTACACATGTATGCAGGTGCACACAGCTGTGTGCATACATATGGAGGCCAGAAGTTCACACGTGATGTCTTCTATTTGTCTTTTCACCACCATCATCACTATTGTCTGAGACCAAGTCTTCAACTGAACCTAGTTTGCCATTTCATCCAGAATGGCTGGCCAGCAAGCCTCCTAGATCGTCCTGTTCCTCCATTCATTCTCTCCCCCACAGTGTTGGGGTTATAGACATATGCACCATCATACCAGTTTTTACATGGGTGCTAAGAGATCCAAATTCATACCTTGGTGCCTGCAAAGCAAGCACTTTATAAACACTGAGCCATCTCCCCAGACCTTCAAAATATTTGTACCACTACTGATCATAATGATCATCCTCTATCCATCCATCGTCATTAAACATTTACTATGTGCCATTCACTGTTTGAGAACCTGACTATACTGAGATTAGTGAACTAGATAGAGACTATCTCTGATCTCACAGAGCTTAAATTTACCCATTCACCAAATAAAATTATATTCTACCCCATTTCACATACGGAATTAGCTCTTGGGGCTAGAGTAATCTCTCCCATCTATCAAAGTGATTATAACACTCTTTTTCCTGTGATACAGGTTTGAGCAGTTGTAGTCAACTAATTATACTCAGCTCTCTGTTCTTCCAAATACAAAAACTACACCCTTCAGGTTTTTCACTGGTTTCCATTTTTTTCCTTTAAAAAATTCTTCAATTTCTCCCTACCCACCTTTATTTTTTTTTTAAAGCAATAAGCTATCTCATATATGACCTGTACTTCTGTAGATACTATGTGTTTGGCATGGCTTCTATGAGGTCTGGTGGGAAGGAGAGTTGCCAGGTCTTGTCTGGAGCAAAAAGCAAACAATAGGGTCACTACAACCATTACAGTCACTTTTTGACAAGTTGGGCCTCTGTCATTAGATGGTACTTTAATTCAGGATAGTAGAGCTCCCTTTTTGGGTTTCAGTCTTTTGCTCAAATGAGGCATGCCTTTGTTTTAGGTGCCTCTTTTGCTCCACCTACATAGTCTAGCTTTGTACGTTATCACCTGGACTATGCCCTTTATTTTAAATGCTCTTCAAATTTTATTCTAGGAGCATTAACTTTAAAAAAATTATGTAATAAAACCCATGCTTATCCTCATTCTCTTTATAGCTTTCCTAAATCTCCCAATTTCCTAAATCTCTAAAAAGAGAAAAAGAAAATAAATTCTACTCTCACCCATGCCTTTACTCTTCTACCTCAGTCTCTCTCCTACTACCACATATTTCCTCAAAAAAAAAAGAGAGAAAAGAAGATAAAACATTCGTTGAAACCTGACCTCTAAAGAATGATTCTACACCGACAGAGCACTCTATGGGTAGCATACAGCTACTGCATATCCTGACCTCACCTAGCAAGATGTAAAGATGCCACAGGTGGAGTCAAGCTGTCTGAAAGCTGAAAGAAAAGTCTGAATAAGCAAGCTTCCTCTGCCCCCTAGACTGGGTCTGCTTCCTGGTATTTGTATTTATAATCTTAAGAAAACTCCCAAGAATCTAGAATTAATACCTTTTGATAGCAACAGAAGATGGAACAAAACTGGGCTTTCTGATCCGAGGGAAATTATATATCTGTGTACATTTATAGTAGTATAACAATTAATATACCAAGAATGTACTGTATTGAGAAACCCGTGGGCACACACAGATTTCCATTCATTCTGGCACTTTCTTTTCACCAATAAAAGCATCTCTGACTGAGAAGTGAACAAAGTGATCACTGTTGGTCTGCTCCTGACTACAATAACATAAGATCAGGGCAGAGTTAAGTGGGGACAGGTGTGGGGTCACTACCAGAGAGCTGGTCTTGACGATGGAGAAGATACTGCCCAGAATCCCTGAGCAGATTAGCAGCTCTTTCTGCTGCCTCAGGTGAAGATGAATGTGATGAAGAACCACAGGAAGCAGGATGCGACGGGATTCTAGGAAAGAAAACAGAGATGAGGTTGTCCATTGGAGGACGGCTAACTATGGCTAGAAGACAGTGGGACTGTGGGACTTAAAGGGGATGAGATTAGGAATAGAGTCATAGCAGAGGTTACCCCCTTTGAAAAATCTAAAAATCCTGGGCTTGGAAACCGTAAGCCATTCTATGGTTCTCTTTTTTTCTTCATTATTATTTTAGATCCCTATACTATAATGACATTTGATAGCTTTTGACTTTGCTTAATTAGAAAGTTAAAATGCATGGGTGGGGGTGGGGGTGGAGAGAGAGGAAACTATGTGAAGAGATTTTATAAACCATTTTATTTTCCAGGATAAAAGGAACAAAGCCTGCAGTTTTTGCTAGAGGTTACAAAGCACAGTTTCAGATTAGAAAACATGGACAGTACCTTGTGTATGTTCTGGAACACTGTCCTCTGAGCATGACAGCTATTGTCATTCCTTAATCAGAGCAGCTGTAATTAGCCACAAGAGAGCCTCAAGATTTGACCTGGTGGCATTCCTTGTGGCATGGGGGAGGGTCATCAGAGCATCCCTTGAGGCTCCAGCCACTCCCTCCTGTGCCCCCTCCTAGCTGCATCTAATTCAGCTCTGGCTGTACATGGCTCAGGGAAGAACCAGAGTATATAGGTGAAAGGTTCACTGAAGACTGCACCTGTGCGGCTCTAGGGAAGCTGTCAATCCATGTTGGGGTGAGACTTTTCAGGGATGAAGCTGTTCTGGAGTCACCTGTGTGAGTAACCTCTCACCCACACTCCTGTATGCCCAGTAAATTTGTTGGTTCATAAAAAAAATGTAAATAGAAGCCTGCTTCCAAAGGATATCTTTTCAATGATTAAGCTCCAAATTAAAAGTAGTTAGTTTTAGCTGGGCTGTGGTAGTGCACACCTTTAATCCCAGTACTTGGGAGGCAGAGGCAGGAGGATCTCTTTGAGGTTAGCTTGGTTTACAAAGCGAGTGCCAGGACAGCCAGAGCTGTTACACAGAGAAACCTTGTCTCAAACAACCACAACAACACGAAAACAAAACAAACAAACAAAAAAGTAGTTGTTTATAGTGAAAAATCCATGTGAATGTCACACTTATGAACTACGATGACTAGATTTGTAGGCTTATTAGGAATCTCTAATTGCCCCTCATCATGCCACGGCTAAGCAGTCTGTCATTCCTATTCTGGTATGCATTCACCCTGTCAAATCTCTTTTCTGTCACAGGCTTGGTAGACTGCTATTGGTAATGTTCACAACAACAAATGGAACAGGAGTATAACCTTAGCCTGTCATAGCTTTGATAACTAGTGAGCTCTTACACCAATCCTACTGTATACACTTAAATATCTTTCTTTTCTTCTTCATGTTGCCAGAATAGCAAGTCATGAAAAAGAAACCATGTTTGGAACCCCTAATTCAGACAGGCTGAATGATATTCAAGCTCCCTTACTGATAAGAGTTGTTAAGCAGACTGACTCCTCTCACATGCTTGATTTTCTCCTGTGTAGAATGGGGTGTTAAAGGCCTTTTCTACTAAATACAATGCAAGTGTGAACATGTTTCTGGCACCCTAAACTCTTGTGTGGTAGTGACTGTGCACCCCTGCAGATACTGTCCCCTACCTGTCCATACTAATTCAGTTGGATTATCAATAACACAAGCCATGGAAAATATAATTTACTGTTTACGTTTGATCATAGTTAAGAGTTCCACATGAACTTCAGAAATAATTTCTTTCATTTTTATTTTATGCATATAGGTTTTTTATCTGCATTCCACATATATGCAGTGCCCACAGAAGTCAAAAGAGGGGACTGGATTAACTGGAATTGGAATTGCAGATGGTTGATGCTGGAAATTGAAGCTAGGTTATCTGGAAAAGCAGTCAGTGCTCTTAACCACTAAACCATCTCTCCAGCCCCCAGAAATAAAAAAAAATAAGCCAAAGATAAATTATATGACATATAAGAGATTTTGACTGTTTTGTCAAATATTTATAATATGTTCAAAAAGAACAGATAGTTGTTCTGTATTTAAAAGGATGTCTGGATTTAAAAAAGCTATTATATTTTAGATCAAAACATAAATACAGTAGGATTAATAACAAGCAATAGGTGCTTTCAGATAAAATAGCAGTTTATTGTTAGAACATGCCAGAGAAGATACTAGATTGGTATGTTCAGAGAATGTAAGAATTGGTTATATGACATCACTGGCAAAGAGCATCTATAACTTGAACACTAAATTAGAGTAAAATGCAAATGAAAATTTGGTGGTGGATTATCATAAAATCTAATTATATAGTCCAACATTACATGAGTTTTAAGAAAAATTTTTCTTAAGTGATTGTGTAAAGCAGCTGAACACATACAAAAATAACAGAAATAAAGGATGTGAGAGCAGTTAGCTGCTTCATTTTCTGTATTTTTTAAAAGTGACTTTTTTTAAACAGCAAATAAAGGAAGAGTTGTAAGCAGTGGGTTTAGTGACCAAGTCCAAATCATTGACAACAGTTTTCAATCTGAGGCAGAAGAAAGAAGCTTATCAACAACAGTTACTGGGGAAGGGCTGACTTCTTCAATGGCAGTGTTACCATTACTGCTCTGCACTGGTAGAACTGAGTTAATGGAAATATCTCCTTAGTATTCCAAGTGTATACAGCATTGAACTAATCAGTTGTTCTTTTTAATTTTTTTATTTAAAATTATTTTCCATCTTACATTAACAACCCCTTTTCCCCCTCCCTTCCTTTCTCCCATTCCCCCCACCCCACCCCTATCCCCTCATCATAGGGGGTAAGGTCTCCCTTGGGCAGTCAACACAGGCTGACATACCAAGTTGGGGCAGGACCAAGCCCCTCCCCACTCCCCACTGCATCACGGCTGAGTAAGGCATCAGCACCACAGGGAAACAGTTCTGAAAAGCCAGTTTGTGTACCTGGGATAAATCCTCATCCCATTGCCAAGGGATCCACAAACACATCAAGCCAGACAATTGTCACCCACATTCAGAGGGCCTAGTGTAGCTAGAGTTTTCCTGCCTGGCCCACAGTCAGGACAAATCTCTGTCACCGGCCAGTCCCACAGTCGCTCAGACCCAACCAAATAAACACAGAGACTCATATTGCTTACAAACTGTGTGGCCGTGGCAGGCTTCTTGCCAACTGTTCTTATAGCTTAAATTAATCCATTTCTATAAATCTATACCTTGCCACATGGCTCGTGGCTTACCGGCATCTTCACGTGCTGCTTGTCATGGCGGTGGCTGGCAGTGTCTCCCACTCAGCCTTCCACTTCCCAGAATTCTCCTCTCTCCTTGTCCCACCTATACTTCCTGCCTGGCCACTGGCCAATCAGTGTTTTATTTATACAGAACGATATCCACAGCAGCCTAGTGCGTTCCCATGCAGGCTCCCCAGCTGTCAGTCCAGAGTCCATGAGCTCCCACTAGCTTGGGTCAGCTATCTCTGTGTTTTTTCCCATCATGATCCTGACCCCCCTTGCTCCTATAATCCCTTCAGAGAGGAAGAGCAATGAAAGAAGTACCTTGACAGTGAACCATTAAGGGGTTAGGGAGAAATCTGGAGCTAGGGAAATTCTCAGGAACTCACAAGGACGTCCCCAGCTAAGATTCATAGCAATGGTGGAGAGGGTGCTTGAACTAGCCTCCCCCATACTCAGATTGGTGTCTACCCTAATTGTCATCATAGAACCTATATCCAGTGACTGATGGAAGCAGATGCAGAGACTCACAACCAACTACTTGGCCAAGCTCCTGGAATAAGTTGTTCTTATACTTGGAAGTTAAACTTTAAAAATTAACATGTAAAATTCTAATTATGAAAATTCAGATAGCTGTTTTGCTGATGCTTCAGATTTATTCTTGTGCTTGGAGGTTTATTCTAGAACAGTATCCTACTTAAAAAATCAGGCTCATATTTGATGCAGCTGAAAGGTTGAACTTGATCACAAGCAATATAGTTTCATGGATAAATCCAAAGGCTCTTTCTGAAAGGTATCCTAGACTTATAGTTAGGCTGTGCTGACCTCCCAGGGAATATGAAAGGCTTTCTGTCCACTTCTATCTTAAGAGAGAGAAGGAATCTATCTGACTGATGAGCCAAAAAAAAAAAAAAAAAAAAAAAAAAAGCAAGCACAGGGTTTCCCAGGTCCCTTTTCAGGGCCTTTTTAACCTCCTTGGCTTGTCCTCATCTTCTTGGACTGGACCCGCTTGCTTCTTTTCATCTGACTACTGTTGTGACAGGACCCCACAGCCAGGCTATGGCTGTACCTGTGGCCTGGAGACAAAGGGCCTCCTACTACACACTGAGTTTTTATGTCCCTATCAAATTCATACATCAAAACCTATTCTCCATGTGACAGTATTTGAAGTGGGAAACTTTCTAGTGATAAGGTCAGGAGGGCCTTATCCTCATGAATGAAATTAGTACCTTATCTCCCCTTTGAGACAGGTCTCATTATACAGGCCTGCCAGGCCTGGAACTTGATATGCAGAACAGGGTGGCTTTGAATGCACTGAGATCTGCCTGTCTCTGCCTCCCGAGTACTGAGATTAAAAGTGTGTACCACCTCTCCTGGATGAGACTAGTGCCCCTTAAAAAGAGATCTCAGAAAGCTTTCTTGCTCCTCCTGTAAGGTGATAAAACAGAGAAGAGAGATGTCTATGAAATAGGAAGTAGGTTCAACTAGACATCAAGTCTACTGGTACCTTGATCCTGGACTTTCTAATCTTTACAACTGTAAAAATTAAGTATTTGTGCTTTTTTGCTTTTTGAGACAGAGTTCCATTTAACCCAGGCTGACTTCAAACTTGCTATGAAGCCAAGGATGACCTTTACTTTTCTTTTTCTTTAAACTTTCTTTTTCTTTGTTTTTTTTAACTTTCTCTCTACTTATTATTTATCTATTCTTTGTGTCATGCATCTCCATCCCATTCATTTCCCCGTCCCTTCATATCTGCCCTCGCAACCTCCCCCCAAAATAAAATAAAATAAAATTTAAGAGAGAAGAAAAAAAGGAAAAATCAATCTCGTCACGGAAACTATAGTGTGACACAGTGAGTCACACAGTAAGCCCTTTTACTCATTTATCTTTACTTGCAAGTGTTCATCGAAAAGAGTCATTGGTCTGGTTCGAGGCCTCTGGTTTCTGCTACACTATTGATGCTGGGCCCTCACGGGAACTCCTTTTGGTTATCCTGCTGTTACCCTGTGTTGTAGAGATCCTGCAGCTTTGGGTCTGTAGGACCAGTCCCTTCATGTGCTCCAGCAGATTACAGATAGGGTGATGTTGAGGTGGGCCAACTCATAACCCTGGTGCTGGGCCTGGGTAGTTGCAGGGTTGGTCAGTTCACCAGTTCACCAGCTTTTCCTTGTCTTCACCAGGGTGAGCTCTCCTGCATTGCCCTGGCTAGTTCACGCCTTGCATGGATGAGCAAGGGGCGGGGCCAGTTCTCCTGCTTTCATGTGGTCAGGGTCAGTTCTCCAGAACCTCCACCTTTAGGACCAGCTCTACTGTGTTTCCCAGGCATGGCAGTGTGTGTGTGTGTGTGTGTGTGTGTGTGTGTGTGTGTGTGTGTGTGTGTGTGTATGGGCACTAGTGCACGTGCAAGTGCATCTTCCCCTCCCCATGCTGCCACATGACAGATGAGTAATGGGACAGCTCTCCCATGCTCACAACTTCAGGGCTGGTTCACCCAGGACCTTTACTTTTCATGTGCTGAGTTACAGGCATGTGTCCTCATGTCCCCCTACACACACACACACACACACACACACACACACACACACACACACACACACACACACACACAATCTTACTATGTAACTCAGGCTGGTTTCAAACTCACAGAGATCCACTTGGCATCATACCCAGCACTATTGTTTGTAAGTCATCCAGTTTACGCCCTATGAGTACACCCTAAGTACGGTTCCTAAGAGTAAATTGTGAAAGAGGCAGCGGGTCTAGGTCTTAGCTGAATTTCTCATATAGTTTACTAAAATCTCTACACTTTAAGGCTCACTAGTTTCTTACATCATGGCTGTTAAACTGGTATTTTGATCAGTTTAAACTTGGCTACCACCCTGGAAGGGAAGAAATAAACTCTGACTCTCAACTTAATTTACCTGAAAAAGAAAACAGGCGACTGTCCACTGTCCTGGCGATGGACTGCAGCTTCACCACATCCATTGACTGTCCGATGTGCACAGTGCTAGGCATACTTCCCAGTGTACCTCTCACAAACTCTGCTACCTCTTGCACAGTAAACATTTGCAGCAGCTCGTCAAAGATGGTAGGGAAAGAATTAAGCAGTGCAGCCTGTGGGAGCAAGTAAAGCTGTGGTTAGCTCAGTTAGGTTTGTGCTTATCTTGTATGTTCAAAGGTATGAGGTTGAAAGAGTTTCAGAAGGCACTATAGCATCCCTGCCTTGAGAGGGTTCTTCCCTGGCCCTTGACTGTACTCAGTCCTATAGCACTCTTGGAGCATAGGGAAAGGAAATCCAAAAATGAAACCAGGGATTTTTACTAGGGCTCAGGCCATTTGAAGCTTTCATAACTTTCCAAGCATTTGCAGAGAAGAGAAGGAAGTATAAAGAGAACTTTGCACAATGTAGCTTAAGACAAACAGTTATTTTTCCTCAAAAAAGATTTAAATGTTTCTTTTCAATTTTGTTTTCCAACACAAGCCAGAAACCTCTAAGAAAGGGAAAAGTAATCGAAAGCTGAGTGCCTTCAAGCAGTACTAGCTGGACTCTATCAATAGCAGTAACCCAGCTTTAAGAACTAGACCATTTTCCAGGGATAGTGATATTTGTATATGATCATGTAATCGGAAGAATACATAAATTATTTTCTAATATGTGATCTCTGGCAGTCTCAAGTATAATTCAAAAGTATGGGAAACATGGATTCATTCAGTTATAAAATCTTGAGGACTACTGATAATGCTGACTTAGAATTCAGTGACTCAGATGACCCAAACAAAAAGAGTAGGGAGGGAGAGAGAGAGAAAACACATGTGCATGTGGGTTTCTAGGATCTGAGCTCTGTAAGCAAGATGGGGGTCTCTTGAGAAAAATGTAACAATTTATTTTAATGAGGTGGGGGAAGCATGATGGCATTAGTAGTTTTATTTATTCATTCATTTGAATCACATTTATTTATTTATTTAGTGGGGGAGCACATGCTCATGTGGAGGTCAGAGGACAACTTATGGGAGTTGGTTCTCTCACTTCACCACGTGGGACCTGGAGATCAAACTCAGGTCATCAGGGTTGGCATCATGAGCCTTTACCTGCTGAGCCATCTTGCTGCCCCAATCTGATAATACTGATCCATAATTTTTGAGAGGCAGAACATTATGAGAAAAATAATAGATTTTTAAATTAGAGAAAAATAATAGATTTTTAAATTAGACACATATGAGTTCAAATTCCAGCTTTAAGGCAGGTGTAGTGTTTCATGTCTGTAATTTTAACTATTCAGGAAGTTGAGGCAAGAAGTTTCAAGTTTAAGACCAGCCTGGACAACACAACAAGACTCAATACAAATAGACAAATGCCCAGTTTTATCATTTGCCTGCTGTATGTTTGATGAATTGCCCTAATCCTTGGTTTTCTCATCTATAAAATGGGGATGCTGCTGCTACTGGCATATGGAAAATTTAGGTGCATTGTTTTCAGCAGAGTGCCTAGAACACAACAAGTCTTCAATTAGTGCTATATACTATGTTAATTGTCAATTTGTCAAAGTCTAGATCACCTGGGAGAGGGGTCCCTGGGCATGCCCTTGAGAGGTTATCTTCATTATGTTAACTGATGTGGGAAAACCCATCTTTATTGTAGGCAGGACTGTTCCCTGGGCAGGGGATCCTGAACTGCATAAACAAAGAGGACTGAGCAGCAACATGTATTCACTGCTCTCTGTTTCCTGAGTGGGGATGTAACGACGAGCTGTTTCAAGCTCCTGCTGTCTTGACTTCCACTATGATGAACTGTATGTTGAACTGTGAGCAGAACAAACACCTTCCTACTTAAATTGTGTTTGTGACAATATTTTACCACAGCAACAAGAAAAGAAGCAAAGATGAGCTGGCTCTTATTTTCTTCCTGGATTTATTGAAAGCACCATGAAGGAAGCTTTTTGTACTTCTTAGTCTTCTTATACCACGAATCCCAACAAGATTTACAAAGGGAAACAGAAGTGGCACCTTAAGAACAAAAGGTAACATCCCACTTTTAACAAGTGAGCTGGGGTTAGGGGAGGATGTTTTTCTTAAAGGATTCATCAGGCAGTAGATAATGGTATAGAGTGAAAATTTATGCCACGGGAAAGCCTGAATTAATGTCCTTTATGTTAAGGCCAGACTAAAGTGTGAAATTCATATGAATTCTGTCTTCAGGTTAATAACTCTATGAAATATCAGGAATTTTATTTTACGGCAGTTAAAACTAGTATACAAGCATGTAAGCAATTCAGATACAAAAGACTAAAAGAGGGTTAGGTATGTCATACTCAGTATATGAAGAAATTTCCTACAGTTATGCACCAGAACAGAAAGATACACTCTGACAACTTCTGATAGTCATGATCAATGATAGAAAGTCTAATTGAATTGTAAATTTTCCAAGAGTTCTGAAATTCTTGAAACATAAGCTTGGTAGCAAAGAATCGGATTTGAACCCTAAATATATCTAAACTGATACCAGGTCTACCAGGTCTAAGCTATCTGTTCTGATGTTTCTCCCAATGACCCAAGGAGGCAGCAGATGAAATGCCCAGTGGTCAACCAGGAACAAAAGCTGGTTCTGCAAGAACATTTGACAAGTGTATGTACTGAGCCAGAAGCACCACTGTCTGTACAAAACATTGACAAACACCCAGAAAGCATGTCTACCTTGCCCTGTTAGCTACCTTCAATCTTTCTGTAACTCTTTTTGGGGAGAGAAGCAGCAGGTATCCTTGGGCCCTATTAGAAGGAACAGATAGATTGGGGAAAGTCAGGGAGAAGAAAATGAGTTTCTTGTGGTACTTTTAAAGTGAGCTCATAGGCGTTTCCTTAGAGAGGCTCTTGAAACCTTGATAATTCCTTTGTAGCATGGAGCTCCCAGATGACACTTGTTTTTTTGGCCAAGGAACCTACAGGGAATTCATGGGCATAAAGGGACAATAAAGAGGCAAGTGGAAGACAAAAAAAAAAATAGACTATTCTAAACTCAAGTAAGACAGGGCTTAAACATACACTTTGACTAATAACTCATGCAGTCATGGAATGGAGAGACACAAAGAAACTATCTGATCTTTGTTGACAGCTTTTGACATAATTGGCTTCAAGGAGCTGAAGAACTATAACCCACTAAATAAAAGTCTACTAATTTGATAAGAGAAAATAACCCCAATGCCTATATGGATGAAGTAATGAATGTTTGATTTATTATAGCACAAGTCTGCTTGGTAAAGGTAAGAGACTAGCTGGTTAGGAAATTTTGGTATGAAGCAGAAAACTTCTAACACTGGTATTTCTAATAGAATCCAGCTCTAATGCTTAGTCAGTGCATTCAGTTATTCCTATTAGGTTTCAATTTATCCCATTCTTAACAGTTGTAATGGACTACCTAGGAAATAAAATAAAATATATTTTAAATATCCCCTATAAATACAATGTTACTAACAACTATAGTATGGTAACTAGCAAATTTGGTCTAAGGAGAATTCATAATAATAAAGTTCTGCTGCTTTTCTAGTATAAAGCCAGTAAGCTCTTTCATACCTCACAGCTGAGGCAAAGTTGGCTTTCAAGTAAAGAGCAGCATTTTGTTCTACCAAGTATTTATTTGTAAATCACCTCTTTCCCAACACACAGAACCTTACCACAATTTCTTCAATTCTAGAAATCAGACCAAGAAAGTGCCTGCTAAGACAGAGTCATCTTAACAGCAACACCTCCCCACACAGTAGCTGTAGATGTCCATCCCAGAACGGGGCTGTCAGTAGTAAGGCATGGAAGAGGGTCTTGGGGGTTCTACCCCTCACTACTAAACTACTTGTTACTAGTAGGTTCAGAGAAGAGGGGAAGTCACTGTCTTCAGTTGTGTATCCACTGGATACTCCACCAGGCTCCGATATAGTTCCAATCCAATGGTTTACACAGATGGCCATGATTAAACTAAATGGGCCACAAAACCAAGCCAAGAGTCAGGACTTTCAGAAAGGGACTGGGAGGGAAGAACAGAAAGTTGTTAAGGAGGGAATGGAGATAAAAAAAAAGGGTCGGGGAAAGAATAATCAGAAGTTATTATAAATGAAACTGTCAAAGAAGTAATTTAATTTAGGAAGTCCCCCATACAACACAACAACAATGGCAACAAGAGACCTCACACTATTTCCCCACAGTTCACAGACCTGAGTGAAGAGGAGTGTTTCTGAGTTTCTACTGTCCAGACTCAGCACAAACCGGATGGACTGGAAAAGCTCCTGAATGCTAGACCGGAACTGTTCCTCTTCCATCCCACATGTTGCTCTTGAATACAGGATTCGTGACTGCACAATGAACTTGAAAAGGTACTCCAGGGCCTAGAAATGTAGGAGGAAAAGTAACAGAGAGACACTGAAGATAGCTAAGAACTCACATAACAAGAATGTAAGGGCAAAGAAACAGAAAAAACAAATTCAGGTGACATGTGATTGATTCCAACTATGGATGGGCACTTTATTCTTAAAAATCTTTCCTCAAAGATCTAAACTGTCACTAAGCAGAAGCTGTCTGCTTACTGACAGAATGGTCAAATGATTTTATAATCATTCTCTATGTTCTGGAATTAAGAAGTCATAATTATTCAAAGGGTTAAATTAAAGAACATTCAGAATTCAAAGAAAATTCAGATTCTTTGTATTTTTTTTTTAAGGGCAGAAAATTCAAAACCCCAAAGGCAAGGATATAGCTTAGCTACTTTTTTTTTTTTTTTAGGCAGGGTCTTGCTGTGTGGCTAAGGCTGACCTCAAACTCACTATCTACTTGCACGTCCTGTGGAATGCTGGGATATAGGCATATGGCACCACACCTGGTATAAATACTTTTGAGTTTACTCTAAGAAGGGCTTTTAAGGAGTCTCCTGTAACTTTACATTACAGGTGGGGTCTGGACTAGGGACTTCTGCCTCCTTATTGAAAGTCAAAGAAGTCTGGAAAACTAGTCCTAGGTTGTATAGCAGCTTGTGTACCTGACACATCCACTTTCCAGTTCCTTCCAGCCATGACATCTGCCATTAACAGTATAGGAGCAACATAGAAGACAATGTCCTCAAAAAATGGCTTAAGAGCAGAATGTAATTCTGATGGATACTTGCAATTTGGCTGATACTTATCAACAGAGTAATTCTTTAAGAGAATAGATTCAAGCCCCAAGACTGTTTTCTAATTAAAGAAATGCTGTATTATCTCAGATAATTGAAAGGCAAAACCACCAGATTAAAACAAGCAAAACCCAATTACTTGAAATACATAGAAAAAAACCAATTCTTAGCCTCTTTTTAGCATCTGCCTGTTACGTTTGGCTTAGGAAATTCAGTTCACAGGGTGATGGTTAGTTTAGGGAAATGTGTCTGGTAAGTTGTTCTCTGACTTCCACATGAACATTCCACATCCACAGACAGACAGACAGACAAACAAACAAATGTAATTTAATTTTTTAAAGGGCAGGAAAGGAGATAGCCAGATAAGGACTTGTATTCTCCTTTGTTTACTGCCCTGTGCCACAGACCAAGCTATTCTTGATGTCATGTCTTGCCTGCCATGATGAACAGCATTCCTCTGAACTGTTAGTTGTTTTTTACTGGGTATTTGATCACAGCAATGAAAAAAGGTAACGAATACAGTGGCCTCATACAGTGTTAGAGCCCTGTGCTTAGAAGCCTTTTAACATCTAGTGAATAGAGAATTTGAAAAGTCTGTTACTTTATAAATCCAGAGATACTTGCAAGGTATGTGCTGCGATTGTTCTACTATGCCTGTATTTTAGTGATTCTTTTTTTTTTTTTTTTTTGGTTTTTCGAGACAGGGTTTCTCTGTGTAGCTTTGCGCCTTTCCTGGAACTCGCTTTGGAGACCAGGCTGGCCTCGAACTCAGAGATCCGCCTGGCTCTGCCTCCCGAGTGCTGGGATTAAAGGCGTGCGCCACCACCGCCCGGCTGATTCTTTATGCCTGTGCAGCAGAAAATATAAAATACCAAGACCCAGTCTCATTTATTAGGTTATGCCAGTCACTCAAGTAGGAGTTATTCCCTCTATATAACATGGATATTCTCAGTCCCAGAGAAATTTCTCAAAAATTTCACAGGCTTAGGCTAAAACGTGAGCCCGTTAAATGTCTTATTGTCAGATGCCTAACCTCAGGAAGCAAAGGATCAGTGATTATGTAGAATATGGGAAACAGACAGAAATAGTTATTTTTTAAATATGAAAGCCTAGGATATCTATTATATCTAGTTATATACTACACACATCTTGAATTTTAAAAAGAAAGTATTTTCTTCTCAGCATTGCCCAATTGTAGCTGTTTGCATTTCAGTCAGAAATGACTACTACAAGAGATGCTCTAAATAGCAATGTTGTTCACATTGTCCACACATGATGGCTTAGCTCTCTTACTAGGTTCTATGATATAAAATAGTGTGCAAAGGAGCACAGGATTGTGTCAAAGAAAGGCCTGTGCAACCTGGACCAAGGAGAGGAAAACAAGTCCACTTTAAATCTTCCATTACCACCCGACTTCCCTTTTCTCACTCCTGATAACTAGCTTGCTACCTTTGAGACCCCAAGACAGAGTGCGGTAGAAGGTGAAGGGTACATCTTAGGGTATCTGTTCAAGATTCAAAGGGTTGCTCCCAACCCTGTTTGGAGAAAATGAAGCATTAACTGAGGCTAAAGCACCTACACTGTCCTTTTCTACTCAATAAATCTGAAAGGAGAGGAGAGTGTGAAAGTTTTTACAACTTTTCTCTCTTCTCTGTGTTATGGGAGGAGAGGTGTGTGTGTGTGTGTGTGTGTGTGTGTGTGTGTGTGTGTGTGTGTGTGTGTGTGCACGCGCGCGCGCGCGCGCGTGGTGTATAAATCTATATGTATACACACCTGCAGAGGCTAGAGGAAGACTTCAGATGTTTTAATTGTTCTTTTGAGACAAGGTCTCTCACAGAATCTGGAGCTAGACTGGCAGCAGGCAAGCCCCAATGCTCCTCATTTCTGCCTCCCAGAGAGCTGGGGTTACAGGCATGCTTGTGGCCATGCCAGGCTTCTTGGGTGCCAGGATTTAAAGTCAGGTCCTCATGCTTGCACAGAAGGTGCTCTTGTCCACTGAGTAATCTCTCCATCCCCGATTACAACTTTTATATCACCAAGAAGATTCATTAAACCCCTTTGCTACCTGCTAAGGGAGTGAGTGATACAGCTCAGAGGTGAAGAGCATGCTATATTTGTGGAACACTTTCTCAAAAGCCATCCTCATATCCTATTCCACAGATACTTGCTCAGCCATGTTTATTGCCACTTCTATTCACAATAACTAGAGAATGAAAACAAGTTAAAGGTCATTTAACTGCTGACTGGATAATGAAAATGGGGTACATATATACAATGGAATTCTACTCAGCTGTAAAGAAAAATGAAATAATGAAATTTGCAGGCACATGGTTGGAACTAGAAAATATACTGAGTGAGGTAACGCAGACTCAGAAAGACAAACACCATGTATTATCTCTCATCTGTGGATCCTCATTCTAAATCTTTAGATGCTATTATATAACTTGGGAGTAACCACAGAAATGAGGACAATACAAAGGGACCATGAGTGGATGCTCAAGAAAAGGAAGAGGTAGTAGGACACTGGTGCTATGAAGGGGGAAATGGGAAAAATGGGGAGGGGGACTTTTTCTGGGGAAGGGCAGGAAGGAAAGAGAAATACACTAAAGGTATTTGAGAAAGCCAAAGTAAAACACATTATTTTGTGTTGGCTTAAATACACATACACATATTCGTGTGTGTGTGTGTGTGTGTGTGTGTGTGTGTGTGTGTGTGTGTGTGTGTGTGTCTGTGTGTGTGTGTCTGTGTGTTTAATGGAGTTATGCCACCATGTGGTGGTTTGAATGGCCCTCATAGGCTCATATATTTGAATGCTTAGTCACCAGAGAGGGGCACTATTTGAAAGAATTAGAAGGATTAGGAGGTATAGCCTTGTTAGAGGAAGTGTGGCACTGGGAGTGGGCATTGAGGTTTCAAAGCCCCATGCCAATCCCAGTGTCTGTCTGTCTTTCTTTCTGCTTGTAGATCAGGATGTAGCTCTCAACTGCTTCTCCAGCACAATGCTTGCCATGCCTGCTTGCCACTCTTCTCACCATAATGATAGTAGACTGTAAGCAAGCCTCCAATTAAATGTTTTCTTTTATAAGAATTGCCTTGGTCATGGCATCTTTTCACAGCAATAGAACAGTGACTAAGACATGCCACATAGGGTAATAATGCTCTTCCCAACAGCCATAGACTAGCTAATAAAACCCCTGGTGCCAAGCATGGGAAATTTCCCTTCAAGATGTTGATAAGTGAGTCCAAGAGACTCCCAAAATAATATAAGCTATTGCCATTGACCTTGGCTGCTTTCCAGAATTTGAAGGTAAGACTATTGCTGAAGACACCACACACCTCAGACAACAGACTTGAAGGAACAAGCTGCAACTGGCCTGGAAGCCACCTCCCTGAGGAGTAACTCTCATAGGTGCTATGCAAACTGTCAAAGGAGAAAAGCAATGAATATTCCCACCCAGCTTTAAAGTCTATCAACCACAACAATGACCAGTCCAGCAAGATATTCTCATTGGTGCAATAGTAGCACTTCTATCTGGGATGTAATCAACAGCTGTCTAATTAGATTTAGACCCACTCAATAGGAGGGAATTCACGATTGTACTGTAAACCTAGCCAACTACTCATGGCTGAAGAGGTCATGGACCCTAGAGGAGAACCTACATCTGCCACTTTCCTAAACTAGCATAATTTCTACCTGCAGTGTAAATACTTACTCTTATTTCTACAGGTAAGTGTAGCTCTCACCCTTCATAAAAGCAGCTTCTTTTTGCAACAGATAGGGACTATTACAGAAATCCTCAACTGATAAAAATGTAAACAACAACTGACTGGAGTGCCCAACCCCAACCAATACATCTACAATAAGTCTAGAGAACAGCATCTAGCCCTAATCCATCTTTTGTTTAGCAGACACCCTGTTTCTCTTGTTGCCCTCTATGTGTCTCTTGTCTGAGAGTCTACCAAGGATACAAAGGCCTATGCAAAACCTGGTTCAGGAAACCCAAAAAACTATGGTACCTGATGAATTGAGGGATTTGCACTTGGCAATGTATTTTTGGGAGCTTCTTTCAGGTTGTTTTGAGCATATGGAAATCAGCTGGTTAAACTGTAAATATAGAGAAAAATAAAAAAGCCCTGGGCGAAGGGAAAGTTTTCAGTCCTGAGAGACTGGATCCCCATGCAGCCACAAAAGGCTAGATTTGTTCTTATGGTGCTTCTGAGTCTTCTTTCCACGGAGTCATGGGAACCCTCACACCCGTGCTTCATGACATGGCTTTATAAACAAGACCTGCACAATGACATGCCAATGTGGATGGGGAAGTCTTCCAAATTTTCTATAGTACCCTTAATTATTTAATTAATGGGCTCACACAGAATCTTTTGTATTTAATTTTTAGGAGATGGACTGGTCTTTTTTTTTTTTTTTTTCCCCCAAGACAGGGTTTCTCTGTGTAGCTTTGGAGCCTGTCCTGGAACTCACTCTGTAGTCCAGGCTGGCCTGGAACTCACAGAGATCCACCTGGCTCTGCTTCCTGAGTACTGGGATTAAAGGCGTGCGCCACCACCGCCCGGCTGGTCTGGTCTTAAGTATGCTTCTTAGCACTCAGAACAGACAGTAACCATTTAGTGAACATTTGTATGAAGGAGGAAAAAAAATCAGCTATTTAAAGTATGTTCAGAAAGCCAAGGAAAAGTAAAAAGAGATCTGTGGCTTAATTCTACCTATGCTGTCTGATACATTGTACTATGTAAGCCAGAAGAACAATACACAACACAGGGCCTATACTTAGTATAGATGATGTGATACTAAAAGAAGACAGAAACAAGAACAACTTTGATGCCTTTCTCCTTTTAATTACTATGTAGAAAGTAGGGGAAACATAATTAAAAAGCAACTTTAAGGAAAGATAACTCAAGTACAAGATAAGTCAGGGACAGATACAAAAAGTATGAACTTGCTTTAAGGGTGTTTCTAGAAGACATGAAAGCTTGGGTCTGTGATTGGTATGTAAAATGAATAAAAAATTTCTTAATTAAAAAAAGATAGAAAAAAACATTTGGAAAAAAAGAGAATTTAATTGCTCTCTATTGTATAGAGGAGCTCTGAGAAGAAGTTAACAGACTGATGTTAACTCACAGTGAGAGGAGCCTCTTATCATCTGGAGCTACCCAGCAATGAAAAGCAAGCTGCATTGTCAGGGAACCTATTCAAGCCAACATGTCGACGACCAGCCCACAGAAGACTCCAGATTCTCCTTAAGGCCAAGGGTTTATGGTTATCTTCTTCAAACATCTTCATATGGTACATCTATCCACTTTTCTCTTTTTAATTAACAAAGTTCCAAAAAACAATTATTTAGTATCTGTTATTTATTTGCAGTGCTATTTACTGGGCAATAGAGAACATGAAGTACAATGAAACCCACTAGAAGAGTTTTACTAGGGGAGGAAAAGAGGGACGTGCAATAGGCCTACTGGAAACAAACAATGCCAAAGAGAGAGTGGGGAACAGGTGGAATCTGCTTTTATAGGTCTCTTCCCCCGTCTCCCCCTACGCATGCGCATATGGGCTTATGTGGTTACACCATGCATGTGCATAGATTATGTGATCACGCTACATGCAGATTACCTAGGAGGTAAGGCCCTGAGGTGACTAAGCATTTTTGTCTGACTGCTGGGACAGAGTATGCTACGAATTATAACAGTATCCACTAAAGAAGGGAATTGTATTCAATCTTAATTCTAATCAATGTTTCTACCAGTATTAGTTTAGAAATAGTATCAATACTTGAGCCAGTGGGAGGGCAAACTGATACTATGGTAAAAATAAGGCAGAGTAGGATGGCCAGGATCCATGTTCACTTCTTGCTTCAAGGTAAAATGATGAGGTGTAAAGCTCTCATGGAGCACCACTGAGGGGAGGAAAGGAGATTGCATGGATCAGGGCATTCACTCCTGAAAGTAGGTCAGCATACTACAGTTGTCTTGAGCACCATACCAATGACATTACACATACAAAAACTAAAGGAGTTTCCTTATGGCAAGCTTGGGACATTACCCGCATGGCTTCCTGAATGTGGTCCTGCCGAATCAGTTCTGCTGAGCAGTCCATGTACCACTTCAAACAGCGGATGAGCTCCCTGGAAAGAGAACATTTATAGAAATTCCATTTTAACCAAAAGGCAGTGAGTCTCAAATCTGTATTTAGTCAAATAGAATAGCAAAGAACTGTCAAATAGGAAATAATATTCTGCTGATGAGCTAGAATGATGGATTTATCACAGCTGCGGAATTTTCACATTATCTGAGAAAGACAGACATTCTCTGTGCATAAGGAGCTACAGAATTTATATCAGCAGTCACAGGCACTCTGTCCCACTCTCATTTCCCTCCAAACTTAGACTGTATTATGTATTTTGATTTGTCTTAAGTTGCAGTATCTCCAAAACATACAACACTAACTAGTACACTGAATAAAAGTGTATAATTGTAAATGCCACTCCATTCCACACCTCATTTCCCAAGGACCAAGTCACCTAAGAGCAATGAGTTTACTGGGTCACAAGTATTACAAGTTAAAAGAGAAGAATCAGCAGGTTTGTGCAAAGGAACTGAAACAAACTACCCTTCAAAATAAGCTGTGGTAGGAGAGAGAATGCCACAACTAGAGGGGCAATGATCAAGCCGTAAAGTGGGAAAGCATTAGAAGAGACAAACGCCCTGTATAGTATGAGGAGGTCTCGAAGGAAAGAGCCTTCAAATTTAAGGAGCACACAGGGCTTCTGAGTCTTACAGGTTTCCAGAGTAAGTGGAGAAGCTTCATACTTCTTGGCCTAGCCTATGCTACTTCTGACATGGAGGTAGGCACTAGGTGAGACCATAGTTTAAAGATGTCTTGTCCTTAGCAGCAGAGGGAAGCTGGGCTTCCTCTACAGTCACAGAAAGTGCCTGTTGGTTCTCCTTGTTTTTAGGGATAAGTTACAGAAGATATGTGGCCTGATTTCCCCTGGCACATCTATTATCTCTTAATATCTCTCTCTCTCTCTTTTGGTTTTTTGAGACAAGATTTCTTTGTGTATCCCTGACTGTCCTGGAACTCCCTCTGTAGATCAGGCTGGCCTCAAACTCAGATATTGGCCTGCCTCTGCCTCCCCGGAGTGTTGGGATTAAAGGCATGCGCCACTACTGCCTGGCCACATCTAATCTCTTAAGGTACCATATTTTAAAGCGGCAGGCTGATGATCTAACAAGAAGGCATACACATTTACATGACAAGAGATTGACAGATGTAAAAGGTACAAGCTGTGGTGCCTACTAGTATGCAGTTTTGTGTTCTTAGGCACATTATTTAATCCCATTGTGCCTCATACTAGTCACTGGACATATGGAGGAAATAACAATATATCTCAAAGCTGTTGAAAACTAAGAAGTTGACACATAAAGCACATAGTGTCTACTCTTCAAAGTGCCATCAAAGTCTAAGAATTCTGCAGTTTTGCCACTGTTAAGCTTTGTTTATGGCAGTAAAAATTATACTAATTTCATAAAAATTGCAACATCTTATTTATCCAATGGTCTTAGCTAATTTGTTTCACATGAAGTTATCTTTTTTTTTTTTTTTTTTTGAGACAGGGTTTCTCTGTGTAGTTTTGAAGCCTTTCCTAGATCTTGATCTGTAGACCAGGCTGGCCTCAAACTCACAGAGATCCACCTGGCTCTGCCTCCCGAGTGCTGGGATTAAAGGCAAGCGCCACCACTGCCTGGCTTCTTTTTGTTTTATTTGATCTTTATTTGGGGTACTATCATGTTGGCTTCTCATGTTTATTATGCAAACAAGACTGAATTTTAGTAGCTTTACCATCAGTTCTTAAAAGAAAAAGTACAGTAACTATGTAATAAACTATATTTTAAACTCCCAACAGAAAGCCTGTAGCTCACATCGTATTTGTTGTGACTGACAGCTATTTTAAGATGAAGAAAAAGGAAAGGACACTTGTTTTTAACCACTTATTTATTTATATTAACTTATTTTTATGAGAAGTTCTACCTAGAGCAATAAGGTAAGATAAAGAATTTAAAGGCATCCACATTTGAAGTGAAGAAGCAAAAGTACCTCTCTTTAGATCTCATGTATATTCATTTCTTATTGTTCTACTATTTATCATGATTGTGAGAGTGTGTGTGGAGGGTTACTGAAGATCTAAGAAAACTGTTAGAACTAGGGTAGATAGCTGGGAAGAGGCCTGAAGGGGAGCAGGTAGTAGAACACATGGGAAATGTGAGCATAGAGGAATAACACTGGGTTGGTGTGATTGATATATTGTGTACCCCAATAAACTCACTTGGGGGTCAGAGAACAGAACAGCCATTACATTAAACATAGAGGTTAAGCAGTGGTAGCACACGCCTTTAATCCTAGCATTTTGGAGGCAGAAATCCATCCAGTTCGCTGTGAGTTCAAAGTCACACTGGAAACAGAGCCAGGCATGGTGGCACACACCTTTAATCTCAGGACTTGAGATCTCATGTCTTGCTTGGGAAAGACACACGCCTTTAATCCCAGGAAGTGATAGCAGGAAGCAGAGAGGTATATAAGGCATGAGGACCAGGAACTAGAGCCTTTTTAAGCTTTTAGGCTTTTAGCAGCAGTTCAGCTGAGATCCATTTGGATGAGGACTCAGAGGCTTATGGTTTGAAGAAACAGGATTGGCTAAGGAATTGGCAAGGTGAGGTTAGTTGTGGCTTGTTCTTGCTTCTCTGATCTTCCAGCATTCACCCCAATATCTGGCTCCAGGTTTGTTTTTATTAATAAGACCTTTTAAGATTTGTGTTACAGACATGAGGGCAGGAGAACTGGCCCCACCCATTGCTGCTTACTACATAGGGTGAACTGGCTGGGGCAGTGCTGGAGAGCTCACCCTGGTATTGAGGATGAGGTAGAGCTTGGGGGCCAACCAACCCAGCAACCACCAGAGCTATAAGTTGGCCCACCCCAGCATCCACCCCACCTACGATCTGCTGGAGCACCTGAGGGGGCTGGTTCTGCAGACTCAAACTTTCAGGATCTTATGACACAAGGCAACAACAGGATACTCAAGAGGAGTCCCAATGAGGACCTAGTATCAATGGTGTAGCAAAAACCAGAGGCTTCAGACCAGACCAATGACTCAATGCAATAAACATTTGCAAGCAAAGATACATGGACTAAAGGGTAAACTGTGTGACTCACTATGTCACACTACAGCTTCCACATGAGATCTTTCTTTTCTTTTTTTTTTAAAAAAAATCTCTTCTCTTTTATATTTCATTTTGTTTTATCCTGGAGGTTGCAAGAGTAGAGAGTGGATGGGAAGGGATGGGGAGATGAGTGAGATCAAGATGAATGATGTGAAATGCACAAAGAATCAATAAAGAGTTAAACTGGAAAAAAATTATATAGAAACCTATTACTCTATAAGTAATTTAAAAATATATTAAAAAAATGAAATTGAGCCGGGCAGCAGTAGTGCATGCCTTTAATCCCAGCACTTGGGAGGCAGAGCTAGGTGAATCTCTGTGAGTTTGAGGCCAGCCTGGTCTACAGAGCGAGATCCAGGACAGGCTTCAAAGCTACACAGAGAAACCCTGTCTCGGGAAAAAAAAAAGATTTTGAATGGAAGTAACCTATACAAGTGGATGTCAATCCCAGAAGCCACAGGCAATCAAACAAGTATCTTAGTGCCAGGTGTAACATACCTCCCTGTAAGAGTTGTTGGTCGGGAAGGTTACAGAGACCCCAAAACACAGTACCAGACAATGCTATGCAGATGGTGGGGGTGGGGGGTGGGAAGGAATGACACCCCATCAACTGTTTTACCCAGCAGTGGACCTTAAGTGCTATAATGCTAATGTGCCAAACAAGATGTAGGCCCACCAGTGTAATAGTGCTTTGGGGTTAACCAACTACTCCCTAATTGGATTTGAGGCCTGCTCCACAATAAGGAATTCAATGGTTACTACTGTAAACCTGATTAAAATAAAACAAAAACATGGGTGGAGGAGGTATTATTATGGTTGTTTTGCTAAATGGACATGGTATCAAATTGCCTTCTAAGTATTTATGTTTATACCCATACACAAGTGCTACTGTCAATCTTGACCATACAAGCTTCTTTTTGTAGTGAATGGCACTAAATGCAAAAACTCATGGCTAGTCAAAGTATTGAGAATAAGTGACTGTTGAGTGCTCAGCCCTAAATAGGACATCTATATTACCCTCTCTAAGGATCAAGGAACATAAAGGAAGAAAGGGGAAAAAGAATCTAAGAGCCAGATGACAGCAAGAAGGGCTGGAAAACGTTATCCTGGGCAGGCCATGACCATTGCAACAGTGAACAACAGTACCTGCAGTTGCCAGCACTGGGCATGCACAAGACTGGGGCTGCCAACAGTCAGTCAAAGATAGGGAAGGGGCTCATGGGGACCTAGGCCTCCTGGGAAATTAATAGCTATTGATGGATGCTGGGGACAAGGAAGACATGTGGGTACTTCAAATTAAGCCTTAGTCCTCTGGAAGAGCAGCCAGTGCTCTTAACCAATGAGTCACTGCTGTGGGATATCTTTCTGTATGCTGTGAATATATGTTGTTCCCATTGGTTAATAAATAAGCTGCTTTGGTCTACGGCAAGGCAGCTTAGAGGCAGGTGGGAAATTCAAGGAGAGACACCAGCCGCCACTGAAAGAGCAGCAAGATGCCAGCAGACCAGTAAAGCCATGGAACACATGGCGAAACATAGATTAATAGAAATGGGTTAAGTTCTAAGAGCTAGCTAGTAAGAAGTCTGTCATAGGCCATGCAATTGGTAATTAATATTAAGCCTCTGAATGATTATTTTATAAGTGGCTGAGAGACTGCAGGGCTGGAAGGGACTAGAGAAAACTTCTGACTACATTTGGCACAAACTGTTGGGCATTGATCCACATAGACCTAAGAAAGCTTAAAGACTCTGAATGCACGGAAACGGAGCCACACTAGGTTTCCTAGTCTCACAGTCTCATGCCAGTAGCAGTGTAGAGACTCATCTTCTGACAGCTGCCTGTGAGATGGAGCTGGCCACCAGCCGCCATAAGCTAAGCAGCATGGCAGATTCCTGCTGCAGTACACAGTGGCGTCTCTAAGTAGCGCAGTGCACTGCATGGTGGATTTAGCTTTTGCTAGTACAAAAGAAAAAAAGTTTCTGGGCTACATGATGGAGACATGGACCCACTACCTCCCAGAGTCAGCAGAGAGCATGGCTCCCAGAGCTGGAGGTGAATTACTTCCGCCATGTTGGGAAGCTGAGGTGGGTGGAGTAAGCAGCCAAGGCTGTGGTTTTGGTCCTAGCCACACAGTTTAGCAGTTTAAAAATCTCTCCTTGTCAGAGAAGAATTATAGATTCACAATGAGACAGATTCAGAATGGAATAAAACTCTAAATGATTCACAATTTACATAGGCTTGGAAGAGAGAGGAAAAGGAGTATAGTTATATAAGAAATAGTTTTAAAAAATAAAAATAAAGTTTTTAAAGAAACAGTAAAAGTAATATAAAAAATAAGCCCCATAAAGATGGAAATTACAGAGTCTGGATTATATTGTCTATGGGATTTTTAACTGCATAAAGACATTGGATTGTAAAGGCTGCTGAGTTAAACCAATATATATATTTTAAAGGTATCTTGACTTCAAAATTTGTGTCTAAGGATACGCTGCTTTGGAAAAGAGGTTCTGCTTTTGTTTCCACAGAAGATGAGAACCTATGGATTACTTCCAAGCTAATATGGTTTGATCAAGGAAGACCCCCTGAGAGGTCCCCAGATGTTCCAACATCCAGAACAGCTTCAAGGCAACTGGCTCAGACAACGCAGCCTCACAGACTACTCCATTCAGGACTTGACCACAATTCTTAATTTTCTCAGGATCCTATAAGATTGCCAGTACCCCCAACCAGCAGGAAGTAGTATGAGAAGCTACGCCCAAATTCCCAAAATATTGTTTATAAATGCTTATTTCTATTTAAAGGGGGTTGATTATAAATGCAATCTCTTTCTAAAAAAGAAAAGAGGATAGCATAGATATGATAGGATAAAAGGTAGATTATTGAATCTACTTTTTTTGTTTGGTTTTGTTTTGGTTTTTCGAGACAAGGTTTCTCTGTGTAGTTTTATTGCCTATCCTGGATCTTGCTCTGTAAACGAGGCTGGCTTCAAACTCACAGAGATCCACCTGGCTCTGCCTCCCAAGTGCTGAGATTAAAGGTGTGTACCACCACCGCCCAGCTATTGAATCTACTTTTAAAGAGCAACAACTTGTTTAGATGTTTTACATTGCTATGGATTTTAGTTTATTGATACAAATCTAAAGTTAATTTTGTTATACTGTATATATTCTACTCTTGTTTAAAGTATTATATTTCTGTAGTTCATTTGAAATTGTAATGTATAATTAAGGAATACAGATTAATAATTAGTCATCTATGATAATCAAACTTATAGTCATATTAGTAAAGTTTTCTAGGTATACATAGATATATTTCAATTAGGAAGGTAATCTTCAAATACTTCAAAGACCTAAAGAATATAGCATTTAAAATGTTTTGAAAACTTAGACTTTCTGGACAGTGAGACACATCTGCTCCTGGCAGCACCGATTTATTTCAAAGATGATGGGCATCAAAGAAACTCCATATGGAGTTTGCTTTCCTTATGGCAAAAAGTAGCCATTTGGGCAAGAAACTGTTCTTGCCTGGACTGCTTGACAAAATGTTGTATCAACTGGACATACAAGACCCATGGAAAAATGACCACTAAATTTTACAAAACAAGGTGAGATGGTCCTTCAGGTTCCTGCTTTGCAGAGGAGACTGCCAGACATTCTGCAGGACACAGGGATAAGCAACTGAGAAACTCTGGGCCTATAGGTTAAGGATGGATGCCCCAACATTGCAGAGGAACTTTGGGTGACTGTCCAGGCAGCCTGCTGTCTCTGTCATTCTAGATTTTTGGAAGTTGCTTACAATGCTCTTCCTGTTTACTTAGTTAATATTATATCCTTCTGAGGTCTTTGATGTAGTTGAAGACTAAATAGTTATAATTATAATTTTCCTTGGTTATGATAAAAGATAAATTAGATATGAAACCTTAGACTCACAAATATAGGATGGATAGAATATTTTCTTTAATTTTGCCAAATACAAACAGACTAGCTATTATAACTGTAATTACTGCTTGATAACTGTTCTATTATATATAATTTTACTATGTTAAAAAGTTAAAACCTTCCTTTTTGATTAGATAGAAAAGGGGAAGTGCTGTGGGATGTCTTTCTGTATGCTGTTAATATGTGTTGGTCTGATTGGTTGATTAAAAAAAAGCTGCATTGGCCTATGGCAAGGCAGCTTAGAGGCAGATGGGAAATCTAAGCAGATATATGGAGAGAAGAAAGGAGAAGTGGGGGGAGATGCCAGCTGCTGCCAAGGGAACAAAAAGATGCCAGCAGACTGGTTAAGCCACGGAACACGTGGTAAAACTTAGATTAATAGAAATGGGTTACGTTCTAAGAGCTAGCTAGCAAGAAGCCTGCCATAGGCCATGCTATTGGTAATTAATATTAAGCCTCTGAATGATTATTTTATAAGCAGCTGAGGAACCGCGAGGCTGGGTGGGACCAGAGAAAACTTCTGACTACGAGTCATTTCTCCAGCTTTCTATTGTTCATTCTTAAAAAGAAAATGCTGATATATGCTACAACATGGATGAACTTGGATGACATAGTAAGTGAACAAGCTACTCACAGAAGGACAAATACTTTGACTCATATATGAGGTACTAAAGAGCAGTCAAACTCAAAGACAAAAAGTACAATGTTTTTCAGAAGCTAGGGAGACTGACAAGTATAATTGTTGAATGTTAGAGTTTTGGCTCGTAGGATAAAAAGAGCTTTGGAGATGGATGGAGTTCTAGTGATGGCTCTATAACAATATGAGTAAATTATTTAATTATATGGAATCATGAACTTGAAAATGGTTATGACAGTAAATTTTACATTACATTTTTTTTACCACAATTACAAAAGTAAAGTTTAAAAAGTCAGCTAAATGAATGCTGGCTATAACTAAACTTCTTAAATTTCTGATTTTCTATTCAAATACAAGTTTGCAATGATACCAAATACAACTTACTTATATGCCAGGGCTCCAGCAAAGTGCTTTTGGATATATGTGTCCATCACAGGTCGGAAGTGGAAATATTTTATGTCTCGAAGCAAGTTGATGATGAAAACCTGAGAAGATAGAAAGAAGGCCACCATGGTTTAATTAGAGGCCTCAGAAAAGTCCCTAAGAGGGAACAGACTCTTGTTCTTCAAAGACCAAACTGTTAGTGTTCCCTATGGGAACTAAACATAAAATTTCCATTGTCTGTATTTATGTCTTGTTTTTTTTCTTCCACTGACTTTCCAGTCCATATCTATACCTTATCAGTTTGTGCCTATATTACCTGGAGCCTCATCATTCACAACAATGATGAGTGGTACAATATGGATCAAGGACAGATAATAAATACCTGTGCAAGTGGCATAAACCCTCAGGAGTCCTCCAAAACTTGGAAAAGGGGGTAATTTAAGCCTGTGGAAGTCTATGCTCTTCTAAAAAGGGTCTCATGACCAGGAAGCAAGTAAGAAAAAAAAAGCCAGAGGACCATTCTAGCTTTAGCTTCAGTTCTCTATCCTGTAGATTGGAGCACCAACATCTTGAATATACAACTCTCCTGTGGTACTTCATATATTAAACCAAGTGTGCCAAACCCTGGTATCACTCTCAGCTGAGATCAAACTCAACTGAACTTAGGTCCTTTGTAGGACCAGTATGTGCTCTCAACTGTTGAGCCTTCTCTCGGGCCCTCAAATCCAATTATTTAAACTTGATCTTGGAAGAATATGACAGGTAGGTTGGCTGGTTAGTCTTGCTTGGGTGACAATCCTAAGACCCTTTTCTATTGAAAACAGATCTTCTCTTAACTCAGTCTAGTAAGTTTTTTAGATTGTTTTGAAACATATGATGGTAATAATTAATAAGGAGCACATGCCTGGCACTGCCTGGATGACCAGAAACCGGAGGCTGGATAGCCCAGTGCCTAGGGTAGAACCAAACATGACTGGCAAAATAAATACATAAATCAATGAAATGATTCCTAATGATGCTCTGCTATATTCACAGATCAGGGTCTAGTCCAGTCAACATCAGAGCAACTGCCTCTGGCAGCTGTGGAAGTAAATGTACAGACTCACAGCCAAACATGAGGTGGAAAGAGCACCCAAGTCAGAGGTCTCTAACACGTCCCTCCCCTCAGTGCTCAGGGAATACCACAGCAGAGGGGAGGAGGAATTGTGAGAACTAGAGGGATTGAGGACACTGGGAGAACACACCTGCAGAATCAACTAAGCAGGACTCATGGGGCTCACAGAGAATAAAGTGACAGTCATGGAGCCTGCATGGGTCTGCACTAGGTCCTCTAGGTTATGGTTATTGGTCTGGTGTTTTGGGGAGAATCCTGACACCAGGAGTGGGGGTGTCTCTGACTCTTTTACCTGATCTTGGGACTCTCTTTTCCTATTGGGTTGCCTTGCCCAGTCTTGATGAGAGGGTTTGTGCTTGGTCTTCTTGTATCTTATTGTGCTATATTTGGTGGATATCCCTGGGAGGCCTGCTCTTTTCTGGGGGTAAAGGATCTGGGGGAGGGTGGAGTGGATCTGGGAGATATTAGAGGTAGGGCGTACTGGGAGGAGTGGAGGGAGAAGCTGCAGTTAGGATGTATTGTATGGGAGAAGAATAAAAATTAAAAAAAAATCAAAATTCAGGAAATGACTTACCAGAGACTGAAAAACCAAAAGGCCATATTTCTCTGTATTATCATCCAAAATCACAAAGAGTGTATCTAATATATCCTGCAGAAACTGAAACAACACAAGAAACAAAGGGTTCCCGTCTTAGGACTGTGGATGCAAGGTCAAATTTTTATATAACAATAATTTTTAGCTCCCAGTAAACAACAAAAATCTCCAAGAATCTTAAAAGCAAAACAAAAAACATCTAGTACCTGCCGCTACCTAGATAAGAGATAACTAGGTAGACTCTTGGGGTTATATATAGCTTAAGGATCGTGCAGAAGATCTATCTAAAGTGGCTCTTCCCATTGGGCAAATACTAAACTTCTAAGGAAAGAGTAATTACCAAAATATCTCAGGAGAAAGGAAAATGCAGCCAATGAGGGCTCTCAACGTGGATAAAAATCTGGCAGTGTTATTTGTTGCTAGTGTTTGTTTTGTTAAGTATATGCCCTTTTTTTTGAAGCTGCAAAACTAAAGAAGATAATAGTAAATAACAATGGGTGCTTGGAGTCTTGAAAACTACAATCTATTATCTTGTCAATCAAAGCATGTAAATGATACATTTATAATGTATTTCAAAACAATATGAGGTAACTTAGGGTTCTTCCTCCACTCTCTTCAGCAGAGACTGGTCTACTGTGTAGTATTTCCTGCTGGGCTTGTGCTTCCAGAAGTGCCGGGTACAATCTCAAGCTAAAACCAACTGGGCAAAATGCTGCCCAGAGAATTCCTAAAAATACAACTGGAAAAGACAGTGTTTCATTAGATGGGAAATATCACAAAGATACACAGAGAAAATATCCACGCAGATGGTAAGAAAGAGTTCTCTAGTATGGACCCCAGGTATGAAGTAGCACCAAAAGTAACAGCCACACGTTAATGGACAGTATTCAGAGTGTTTATAATCAAGAGTTCAGGCTTGTGTGTTAAAGGGCTATAAAGTAAGGAAAATGAGAAAGACCTAAAGAAAGAAGAAAACAAAGCCATTCAGACAGCACAACCACTAGGATTGGCTCTGAGTAAATACTTTTTACCACTATCCTTTAATATTTTTTCCTGTGGGAAGTAAGACAAATCGTTAAATAGAGTTTAAAATTTAAATGTAATTCCTAAGGGGTAATAAACATTTTCTTGAAGAAAAATAAAGTAGTTAGCAAAGAAACTGGAGAAAATAAAAACAAAACAAACAAAAAACCTTCCCAAACTATTCCCATTCATCTATTATATATTTGGAGAAATGGTCTTAGAGGCTTACTGGCAGAAATCATAGGGAAGGTCTTCTGCCCATATTCTTCTTCAGACAGTGTGCTTAGCCTGAGGGAGAGACATACCTTAACAATTTCTTCCCCACTGACATGCCGCAACCGCCCTAGGATGTCCATAATTCGGTCTGGAAAGGCTTTCCATTTCAGCAGAGCGAGGAGATCCACTGGAAAGCAAACCCAGAAGACAGCAAACCTTAGAAAGTTAAGCAAGGCTCAGACTCTTTCAAAGACAAATAGAATCTAGGGTAGTAGAACTACTTGTGACTATAACAGATTCTTTTAAATGCTGAAAAAAAAGATAAAGATATATTTGTGCACTGTGGATGTGAACCCTAGGAACTACAAGAGCCACGGACAACTTTGTGGGCTATATTGTTGAGCAATTCCTTCAATTTCAGATGGAAAAAAAAGGTCTCTACTTTGTCATGAAGAAGCAGTATTGATCTCAACACACACAAGCAACTGAAACCAACTGGAACCAACAACTGAAAACAAAGGAGAGAACCACCTTGCAGGCACCATTACCTACCATTCTGTGTGAGTTTGGTAGAAGAAAGTTGTGTAGAAATGAAGAAAGACTCTTTGGTGCTACGCTGGAAGATGAGGCTGGAGGGAATATTAGGGCAGCCATTGTAGTCTTCTTTGCAGCAGGGCAGGCCCAGGTACAGGGCATGGTTGTTAAATGTGCTATTCTCATCACACTGTAGGTAAACATAGAGAACAGAGGATATTTCCTAAGCCATTCAATATGCAAAAAACCAGGTCCCAGGGAACTTCTGAGTTAAAACTTATAAATATCTTTCTAAGGTTGGACCTTGGGTTGCAGATTCTCTTACAGGCGTGCTTTCTGTTTGTGAATTCCTAGAACATGATAGGATCTGTGGCCTCTACCTGATATGGAAGCAACCTTGGTTAGCAGCTCTGCTGTGGCAACTGGCAACACCATTATCTGAAATAGCAGGACTTGGGACATATTAGTTAAGATGATAATGGCATAGAAGAGTTGGTAATGGATTTCTCTCTACTGCAGTGAGAGGTGGGAAACAAAGGGCCTGCTGGTATTAGTTGTGGGAGAAGGGCCACTTAGAAATGCACTTAGAGCCGGGCGGTGGTGGCGCACGCCTTTAATCCCAGCACTCGGGAGGCAGAGCCAGGCGGATCTCTGTGAGTTCGAGGCCAGCCTGGGCTACCAAGTGAGTTCCAGGAGAGGCGCAAAGCTACACAGAGAAACCCTGTCTCGAAAAACCAAAAAAAAAAAAAAAAAAAAAAAAAGAAATGCACTTAGAAAATGAAAGCCTGACCACAGTTCTCCTACTGTCACACACCAGTGTACTCCCTAGAACCCTATGACCTGACCAATGAAAACCACTCAAGTGAAAATTGTACTTGAGAATGGCCTTAGTGGGGTAAGGAATGGAGATGAAAGAAAGCCAGGTCCGTACCTTATACACATAAAGCTCATGAATATCATCTGAGAGTGTGGTGCCATCATCACGCATCAGGGGAGAGAATGCAAAGCCAAAGAGTTTCTTTTCCCCTTTGTCCTTTGCTGCAAGCAGAGCCAATTATTAGAAATCCCCCTGTATTTGTCACCCACACGCTTTTGAACTTACTTCATTAACTAGGTAGCAACCTGACTGCAGGATGATGAGAAATATGCTGGTCTGAATTCCATTTAATATCCTAAGGTATGCAAGGCTACCATGACCACAGGAGGAACTAACTTTCTGGTCTTGATAAAAAAGGGAAGGGAGTTCTTTAAAAGTAGTTCAGTAAGTACAAAAGAAAACATTCCAAATAATATTGGGCATTTCAGATACTAAGAAAAGCCAATATCAGATCCCAAGGATTTTTTAAAATTATTTTCATTTGTGTGTATGTGTGTGTGTGTGTGTGTGTGTGTATGTATGTATGTATGTACACATGCATATGTGCACCACATGTGTACATGAGGCCAGAAGAGGGCATCAGATGCCCTGGAGCTGAAGTTACAGATGGTTTTGAGTCATCTGATATCAGTGCTGGGAAGTGAACTTAAGTCCTCTGGAAGAGCAGCCAGTACTCTTGATGGCTGAGCCATCTCTCCAGCCCCAAATTCCATGGTTTTGAACCACTGCTTTTACAGTCCAAGATACAGCTCTGATGATATCCTATTTCTGTGTATTTCTAGTTCCTAATAACAAGAATCTTCACAATTTTACTTCAAGAGTAGAGTTATATTTTTATCCTCAAGGGAATATGAAAAGAAGTCTCACTCACTGGAACAATGTCTGAACTCAAAGCGTAGATGGGAACCCCGGAATCTGTCAATGGGAATAGGTAATTTGATAATTTCTCCCCAACGAGGACTATTACTGTGGTAGAGAACAAAGGAGTGATAGGAACTCCTATTTGGTTCTCCAGAACCCAAGCTGATACAGTCCTGGAAAAGAGAAGCAAAATAAGATGTTATTTTCATGGAAGAAGAACCTCAGTTTCTCTCTGTCATTAGTCTCTCTCTGCTTTATTTTATTCTATGTGAAGATCTTAATTTTGCACCTGACCAGATGATAATGTATTTGACTTAAATTCATTATTTTTGGAAGTAATTATACAGACAGTGTAATTATTCCAGGAATGCCCAACCTCAGGTTCATGGACTACATGCATCCTAGGATGGCTATGAGTGTTGCTCAAAATATTTGTAGATGACAACATGCCAAAATGTCAAAAGGCTGGACATTCCTGGCAGTAGTCATAATGCTTTTTATCTTCCTTTGGTCAGAAGTAACTACACAAACGGTGACAAGCTGAAAGAAGCTAGTTGGTGCACCTGCATCACCAAGGTAAGTTTTTCATTCAGAGAAAGGGAATAAGAAGTTCCATAAGAGAAGTCAATTATACCCAACATTTTATCAGACCAAGAAGAAATTCTAAATTATAGGATAAAGACTGTTTTCTAATTTTCCTTAATGCTATGTTGAACTATTTTAGGTTACCTTTATTAACTTTTCATAAACAAGATATATCAGATTTAATCTGGCTCCAGCTTTGAAACATTATTACAAAGACACGGACTTAATGCTGTTCTGCCCCTCACCCTGGAAGATGGAATTCTGGGCAACAAAATTAAAGACAGCTTCCTTTCCATACACATATGAGTGGCTGACAGCTCTGCCTCTCTGGTGCTTTCCTGTGTAAGCAATGAACATGACTATCTAGGGTCCCTGAGTTGAGTTTGTTGATTTAATATTTTACAGTGACACAAATCACTGTTGTATCCCAGTTTAAGCATTCTCCTCTATTTCTGTCTGCTTTGGGAGACTATTTTAACTAACTTTGCCTTTTTTTCTCTGTACAGTTGAGCTAATAATTCCTGTTCTGACTTCCTCATGGGCTTTCAGTCAGTATACCAAAGTGGGGCTTGTAAAAGGCTGATCTGCCAAGTGCACTGGAAATGGAGCCTAACTGTTGTTCACCAGGGTCTTTACCATGACAGGACTGAGGAAAAAAACAGACAAGCCTTAAAAAAAATCAGCTCTCTAGGTCTCCATTTTCAATGAAGAATGACAAAGAATCTTTGTACTACATTGCTGGAAATAATTTCCTAGGCTGGCTCTGTTCTTCTGTGTTCCAAAACTTGGTGCCAGCAAGAGGACGTCTAAATCCTATCCTATCTCAAAGAGCAAAAAGATAAAGGAACCTAGTAATCACTACAAAAAAAACAGGTAGCTCTGTGCTTGGTGGAATGGAAAACAGGTAACATGCAGGGCAGAACTAAAGGAATAGGTCTAAATTGGAGTAAGAGGCATGCAGGTCAGGAACTAAGAAGAATTAATGCAAGGGCTATATGACATTAGGAATCCTTTTCAAACTGCATTGTAGAGTTTCCTGGATAGAAAAAGAAGGCAGGAAAAACAAAAGACAAAAACAATGCATATGGGGCCATTTGAATTGGATCCTATCTAAAGGGAATGAGTTTCTGGACAAAGACAGTTCATAAAAACACATTAGCTTTCATTCTAAATTATAACAAGCCTTACCTTCAAGATTTCTCCATCTGCATAAAGCACATACATGGTCACTTCAATATTCTTTTGTACACTCTTTCCCCCTCTTTCAAAATCCCCCTTCTCCAGGGTTAGGTACAAATCATTGCGGATATCACCTGTTGAGAGGGGAAAATGCAATGTGTTTGTGACCATAGACACCACAATGCCCTGTTTGCATGGAAGATAAGGCTAGCATTTGGATCCTCGGGGCATTCCAAGCTTGGTTAATAACAATGGACTTTCTGCCAACACCAGTGCAGCAGCATCAGAAGGTTAGTTACGTATTCTCTAAGTGTATTCTAAAGGTGTTCACTATAGCTTACTTAGAGAATTTTATCTTGGGTTATTGGTGTTCAGACTGCTCAGTCTCTTTCCCCTCCAAGATGGCTGCAGTATAAGCCTCTCAAAGGAGGAAGATTTTAGAAATTATTTTAATCATGTCTGTCTTACTACTAGTCTCCTCTCTTTCCCCTAAGAGATTTTTCTTTTCTTTCATAGTTTTCTTTTCACAACTCTCAAAACTTTGGAGTCTGAATAAAGGACACTACTCTTTCTGGAGGCTTATCAAAATATGTTTATTACCTAAAGTCACAATTAGAAAAACAACATTTGGCTTTGTTTAGCAAGTAAGCTTCCTGGTTTGGTCAGATATATGCAGCATTGCTGTCTTTCTTGTACCAACGGTCTCTCCTCTCTTATTCTCAAAGTGTCTTAGGCATCAACTCTGAATAGATCTGGCCTATATGCAATGTTTTCTTTTGAAGTCTTCGTGACTCTTCCTTTCATTCCACAGGTCACCACCATCCTAATCTAGGAGTGTAACCTAACAATCACAATCATATGGATACACAAAGTTTTTAAAATGACCTGGTCAAGTAGAAAAAGCAGTCCATAGCAGATATTTTTTTCAGGAGCCTGGAAAACTTTCTCTAATATTGAAAGCCATACTGTTTCCTTAGGCTCTCATGAAGGGAAAAAGAAAATGTGTTCTAAAGATTATACATGAATATTGCATATGTGGGCAGGTTTGAAGGTGTCCATTTCTGTGGTCTTCTCAAACTTTTCTCTTTGGTTGGGTAATCTCCACTTTAAAGTCGGGTAAATTTAGAACCTTAATCTGCTTCCTTCGTTTTGGTCTTCCTTGCATACATTAATAGTACTGATATGCACAGGTGTGGTGGGGGATGGCCAACAGAAAAAGGAAACTCAAATTCACCAGTTTGTCTGATAACAGGCTGAATAACATTAGTCCTGTATGTATTGAAAGCCCCTAAAGTCTAAAATTCAAACTTAATCGGGAAATTTACTATTTTTTTTTCTCCTGGAGCTGAGGACCGAACCCAGGGCCTTGTGCTTGCTAGACAAGTGCTCTACCACTGAGCCAAATCCCCAACCCGGAAATTTACTATTGACTGTTGTCATTATAATGGGATGAATCAGAACTGATGATCTGTGGTACCTTTAACAACTGAAACTGCTTCTTCTAATAAAAGCCTTTTAGTTGCACATTAGCTTTCCTATGAAATTTAAGTAATTATTCAGTTTCTACAGTGATTTTTAGCATTAAATGAATAAATGAACTAAGATAATTTTAATGCCTATTTATTTTATATGTATGGTATTTTGTCTGCATACCACATGTGTACCAGCCAGAAGAGGGTGTCAAAGCCCCTGGAACTGGAGCTTCAGATGGTTGTGAACCATGATGTGAACGCTGGGAATTTAAACTGGATCCTCTGAACAGTAAGTGCTCTTAACCCCTGAGCTGTCTCTCCAGCCCAATTTTAATGTCTAATCTAAAGACTAGGCACTTGGTAAACCCTGGTTTTCAGTTTCTGGGAGTCATTTTAGAGATAGTCCATGTGGATTTTAAAAGTGAGTATCTGCTGGTTACTTGAGATATTAGTCTAACACATACAAACTTTTCATTTCTATGGCTTTATGTGTAGGTCAACAATAAACATACCATTGAAATGAAATGTTTCCAAACTTTTCTTAGCAGTAACAATACAGAAAATTAACACAAACTGGGTCTTTATCTTGCAGACTGTTAATGACAAAATTTGATCTGTGGTGCTTTATTAATGAGCTCATAGTTTCTGAGCAGGCTATTTTAAGTGAAAATGCCAATTTTAAAATATGCTAGATACTCCTTCAGTTTTTACTCTTTTTTGAAACAGAGTGCCTTAGTGATACCATTCACAAGTTTTAATATGAGTAACTACCCTCTGAGGTACAGCCTGAAACAGCTTGATTTCACCATGTCCCTGGCTGCTCTTTATTTAGAGACTATATCTGCCTAGACCAGAGATAAGCTCAGAACACATATTAGACTGCCTTATGGGTTGTAATTTTGAAAATCATGCTTCATTTAAAAACATAATACTTTGTGAAGGTTAATGGTACTTGAGTTGATGCCAGGCTTCTTGTCAAAAGGTCCTGGTGGTATCACTAAAATCGCACTCTTTACTAATTGTCCTGGAATTAGGAGAAAACCTAAAAAGCAAGTGTGAACAGCCCAAGTTCACTTTATAGGTAGTCTCCCAGGGTTCTCCCACTCTTCAGTTGTTCCCAATGTACATTATATGTTCCCCAAACCCATCAATGGAATCATGCCTCAAAGTTAAGGCATGGGTCTCCAGGGAAAAAATTAACACTCATTGCCAGGAACTACTTTCTAATGAGGGAATATAACAGGCACTTTATAATGAAGATGAATAAGAGAGGGCTTAAGTACTAGTTGTGAAGGTTTGTATGTTAGTGCCTGGCTGATACATTTTAATAACCCAGAAAGCATGTTAAAAATGGATTTCTAGCATCTACCCATTGGGATTATTGTGGGTCTTGTATACATATATTCCCAAAAATATCACTAGGTGATTCTGGTATTTTTCCTAGTTTATATCATGGAGTTTGCTGAGAGTGCACTGATAGTTTGCTTGAGAGTAAAAGCCTGGGCAGCCCTTAGGTAGGCAGTCTGGAGAAGTGCTGGGAAGGTGAGTTTTTATGCAGAATGTGGCATTGCTGAGAGTTGTCCTGCTAATGGGCTGTCGTAATTTAGGAAGGGAGCTGAGCATCCCTGCCTCTCTCTGTTGGGGACTCTCAGTTTTCTAATGATGGCAGAGGACCTTATATTTTATATCTCTGAGTGTTTTGTGCTTGGGAGCCATGCAACAACGCCTCTTTCCTGGAGATGAATTAATTGGGTTCATTCTTGTAAAAATGCCTCAGAATAAATTGTCTCCCCCTCTTTCGCAGCTCTTATAATAACCAGTATCAGCTGTTGGTATAGCAGCAGGTCAGGGGACTAGATACTTAACTGAGGGCAGAGGTAGAAAAGCTTCCTATATAGATACGACAGTATTTCAGGCACTGTGGGTCAGTTGCACATTATATTTTCACAATCTTTTATTATGTTAAAAATTCTGGGGTAGAAGAATCTACCCCAGAAGTTCAAGACCTATCTATATTATACAGAGAGATACTGTCTTTTCTTTTTTTCTTTTTTTTTTTTTTGTTTTTTTCGAGACAGGGTTTCTCTGTGTAGCTTTGCGCCTTTCCTGGGACTCACTTGGTAGTCCAGGCTGGCCTCGAACTCACAGAGATCCGCCTGGCTCTGCCTCCCGAGTGGTGGGATTAAAGGCGTGCGCCACCACCGCCCGGCTGAGAGATACTGTCTTAAAAGACAAAAACAATTTTGGCTGGCAACTAGTACAAAAACAGACTTCTGGCTAGATTTGGCTCAGATGAGAATGTTTATATACCTTCACACACATATAAACATATACATATGAACTTCACACACATATACATGTGAATAGATATATGAATGAATATATATATATATATATATATATATATATATATATATATATATATATATATATATATAAAACTTCTACTATGCATTAAAAAAATCCAGACTCCTGTGAGCCTACAGAAACAACCACTGGAAGCAAAGCTTTGAACCTAAGGCCACATTACTATGATAGGAATTTGTCTGAAATCCTTCTTTAGGGTCCTCACCAAAGAAGAGCTCTGAGAAGGTAACAGTGCTGTTCAGCACCAGAAACCTTAGCAGGTTGGGGAGCACTCTGACAGTCCGGCTTTCCAAAGTGTGCATCCTAGTGACTGAAGAAACACTGCACATGACACAATGATTTCTTCTAAGAGTACTCTCCTTATAGATATCTGAACCTCTGAGGTCTAATTCAGATACCAGAACATTCTGCTAGCAAGATTATCTCTTGTTAGATACTCTAGTCTTGCTTGGGAGTTTTGGGTTATACATATCTGTGATAGTTTGAATGTGACTGACCCCCATAATCTCATAGGGAGTGGCACTACTGGGAGGTGTAGCTTTGTTGGAGTGGGTGTGGCCTTTTTGGAGGAAGTATGCAACTGTAGGGGAGGGCTTTGAGGTTTCCTATGGTCAGAATATTGCCCAGTTGACTTCAGTTGCCTGCCTATCAAGATGTAAGTACTCTCAGCTCCAGCACCATGTTGCCATGCTCCTTGTCATGATGATAACTGACTGAAGCTCTGAAACTGTAAGCCACCCTCAATTAAGAGTTTTCTTTATAAGAGTATCTGTAGTCATGGTGTCTCTTCACAGCAATAGAAACTGTAACTAAGACAGTATCATATTATTCTGACCTACATGGAATTCCATCCTGGTAGGAATGGTCCACACAGGATTTGGGTATATAGTCTGGCTTGTCTTATATTCACATCCATTCTACACAGATTATTCATATCACAAAGTAGGGGTCTTTGAGTTTAAGTAAAATGGTATTTAATACTGTATCAGTTATACTTTGTTCTAGACAGGACTAGCAAGGGCAGCTGTGGAAATACTTTCTTTCCCTTGAAACAGGAACACAAAAACTGACTTTCTCCTAGAAGACATAGCTGCCTACTTGAGGTGGTACCAAGTCTCTTTTGGAAGAAAAAGGAAGACATATCCCAGCAGCAGCATTTATCAAAATGTGGAGATGCCATTCTACATGGAGTTTCAGGCTTAGGAGTCCCAAGTTTATTTGTGGTAGTTCTTACTTTCTTAAGGTAGGGAAGGAAGAAGCCTCTTGGACAGGCTGCACTAGATTACCCAAGATCT